CACTCTGGGGACCTAGGTCTATGCAGTTTTGGAACTTTGGAGGCCCCGAAAGTTGCAAAACTGCAGACCCCATGCCCTGACCATAGCCACTCTGGGGACCTAGGTCTGTGCAGTTTTTTAACTTTGGAACTTCGCTACTTTGGTAGTCGAGGTAATTTAAGAGCAGGTGTTTTCTATTTTTTTTGGGGGGCTAGCATATATATATATATATATATTTGAAATACAAATGCTTCTTTGCACAGCGCAAGGTGTCTGAGCACTGCGCAAGTTGGCATGAGCCAGCGACTGACCTGTAATCCATGAAAAGCTGGCACTGGGACAGGTTAACAGTGGGAGATGTCAAACAAACACTCAAGAATCATGCAAGATAACATATGCCAACTGTCATCACCTCCATCTTGCGCTGCTCCGTCTCTGTGCGAAGCGGGCAATATATATATATATTTATATATCTAATTATATATATACTCATCAATTTGCAAAAGTCGAAGCAGCACATTCTTTCCAACCCACAAACGCACATGATACTTTGAGCAAATGAGCAAATGCTGGTGAAACATGTTCTTCATGAACATCACGTGCTTCGTTGCTTCGTTGCTTCGTGCTTCAGCCATATTTCAGTCTAAACTTTCGATCCTTGCCACCATCTCGCTTTCTACGATGCTTCCATCTCCGGAACTGTCTCCGTGTATTGAGGGCTTCCATTGCTGTATTCTCCTTTCCTGGCATTTCCATCTGGACCTCCCTGCCTTGATCAATATTTGTGTCATGCAAAGATGGCCAAGAGCGCTGTTGAACCCACGGAAGCTCTCTCTGCAGAAAAACATGTGTACTCGTGATCATCTGCATACTCCGGATCTGAATGGGATAGCAGGAAGACCAAGGCAAGCGCACTGCCTGTCGCCCAAGCAAGCGCCACATGGCCCACTCGCCAAGCAGTGGAATGGTCGGCAAATTGGCAATGTTCTTTGTGCCCAAATTGCAGCGCAGTCAAGTTTAGGATACATACAATTCAATAGAACAATATTGACAAGCAACATGAATGACAGCTGCATTGCATTGGTCTATATATATATATAATTTAGTTATATATATTGGGACAGTGAGACAAACTTGCTCGACACATCTCAAAGCAAGGTGTAAAAGTTGCTAGAAAAGGCTCCATGGTCATCCTCAAATCAAAGTGTCTATAGTCTATGGATAACTATGTAACGAATGGTAACAGCTAGCTACGGTGAAGGCTTGCGAAGCAGCTAGCTGCACCCATCCCGGCCTATCAGGATGCAACCCAATGTCATGGCACCAGCCAGATCTGCCGACAGGTTCTCTTTTGGATATCGTGGAAGCCAGAAAAGGATTGGCATTTGCTCTTGCAGCACCGTCCACCATGTCCTGCCTCACGACGGTGAAATGATGGGACTTCTACCAAAAGCTGTGCAGCACGTGGCATCCCTTGTCTCCACACAAACTAGACTCATAGAGTCATAGACTCTGATGAAGTGTAGCCTCGATCAAACCTGGGAAAGGAAGAATGAAAACCAGTAGAAATCTGTGTGCAGGTCCTAGTTGTACGGCAAGAGGCAAGGAGCAGTTGACAAAGTGCAACTGAATTGTTAAAGGGCAGTGTATGAACACACTGCGGACAAAGTCTACCAGGACATTGCCTGAAGTGACCTATCAAGGCGTTTGCCCCCCCACCCTAGATAACTTACTTTGTTCGCAGAAACGAACTCAGCCTAGCCTACTGGCTGGCTTTCGTTAACTTCAAGTTAGCTCAAATGAAGGACTTCGATGAACAGCGAAGCAACAATTTCAGTATGTGCTACTCTCACTGAAACATCGAAACTTTTGTTGGCTTGAGACTTTGTCCATGAAACGGCTTTGCTTTGCCCGTTTAAAAAAGGGACCAACAAATCCGATTCCCATTGATGCATTGCAAGCAAGAACCCCGATGTAGGGAGGATATTCAAACATCTGGAAGCAATGAACAACCACCCTGCTCTGCTTCCAAGCTACTCTGCTTTCTTCCGCTCGTCTTTCGCACCAAGGGCTCTGAGCCCGACATTGCACAAAGGCGGCGACTGGGTGGGGTGAGAGACTTCTTCCAACTCTCGGTACAAGTCTCCACCTTTAAATTCATCTCAATAGTTCTTTCTTTCTATTGATCAGGAGGCTAGAAATGCTTTGACAACTGTTGATGTTGTTCCTAGTTCCTAGTATATTTACGCCCCAGCCTGGCGGAACATGGAACATGCAATGAAATGCAATGGTCGTGCAATATGCCGTTCCTAGTATTGCAGTCAGTCTTTGTCAATTTCATTGCTTCTGTGCAAACTAATTCCTCGTTGCAGTGCTGAATGTACAAGAGAAAGTGCGCATGAGGCTGTGGAACTTCAGTGTGAGTGTTGCTCGCCTGCCCGCAGGCTAAACAACTCTCATAAGAATACTGAGCCGAGACAAAGGCTAAAAAAACAACATTGCAAATCACTTGCTGTGCCCTGACTTTGCCAGCGCTTGCCTGGTTCACTTCTGCCACTCTTCTTCTGTTTCCATTGATCTTCCCTTTGGAAAAGTGACATCCCAAGGCTGCACCTCGCCAGACAACCATGCACCCTCAACGGCATCAGCCAAGGAAAAGGCATCCCCAGCCAAAGAAAGCCGCGCTGCTACCTCACAAGTCTCACAAGAGGTTTCTTAGCCTGTTTTGGCCCACGTGGCCCACATGAGATTGTTGAACTGTTCAACATTGTGTTCTCTGCAGTATCTATTGCAAGCGTTTGACATGTATTCTGATGAGAACTACTCTATATTGGAGGTTCTTCCAAATTTGCTTCCTCCTCGATGCAGTGACTTGTCTTCTTCTAGGCCTGGTGATTCCTTGGAAAGCTGGGTGGAGGCGACCTCAACAGGTACTTAGTTGCAGGAGCCGCGATTCCAATCTTGAGTTTGGTGGGTGGCAACAGGCAGCTGCTAACTGTTGGCTGGAATCATGTGATGTTTGTTTGTTTCATAATATCTTTGGAGGCACTCGTCGTCAGGGTACCTATTCTCGCAACATGAAGCTGACTCTGATTCCTCATGACAGCCTGGGATGCTGGCGATGCTGTCCAACAATCTCCAGAGGTAGGACATCTCCAAACCTGCGTGGATACTTGCAACACCCCGCTGTCATCGGATTTCGGTCAAGGTGCCGTAAAAATACCCATTCTACTCTAGCCTCTAACCTAGGATCTAGCCCCCTTGGAAAGCTTTCTAACTTCTGCACCTGGACACCCCAAACAACACTTGTAGCTTCTTGTTGTTAGTATGCCCTTTGTTACTAGTAGCTTCTTGTTGCTAGTAGTGCCAGGAGCTACTAGTAGGTTGCTGTTCCTAGTAGCGATGCCCTGTGTTACTAGTAGCTTCTTGTAACCAGCACTAATGCCAGGAGCTACTAGAAGGTTTTTGCACCTAGTAGCGATGCCCTCTGTTACCAGTAGCTTCTGGTTACTAGTAGTAATGCTAGGAGCTACTAATAGCTTCTTGTTCCTAGTAGCGATGCCCTTTGTTACTAGTAGCATCTTGTTACTAGTAGTAATGTCAAGAGCTACTAGTAGCTTCTTCTCCTAGTAGCGATGTCCTGTGTTACTAGTAACTTCTTTTTACTACTACTTCCAGGAGCTACTAGTAGCTTCTTGTTCCTAGTAGCGATGCCATTTGTTACTAGTAGCTTCTTGTTACTAGTATTGCCAGGAGCTACTAGAAGTCCCTAGCAGCGATGCTCTTTGTTACTAGTAGCTTCTTGATACTAAGTAATGCCAGGAGCTACTAGTAGCTTTCGCTCCTTGTAGCGATGCCCTTTGTTACTAGTAGATTCTTGTTACTCGCAATAATGCCAGCAGCTACTAGTAGCTTCTTGTTCCTAGTAGCAATGCAATTTGTCACTAGTAGTAGTGCCAGGAGCTACTAGGAGCTTCTTTCTTGTTCCTAGTAGCCGTCCCCTTTGTTACTAGTAGCTTCGTGTAGCTAGTAGTCATGCCAGGAGCTACTAGTAGCTTCTTGCTCCCTCTAGCGATGCCCCGTGTTACCAGTAGCTTATTGTTACTAGTAGTACGCCAGGAGCTACTAGTAGCTTCTTGTTCCTAGTCGCAATGCCCTTTGATACTAGTAGCTTCATCTTGTTACTAGGATTGCCACGAGCTACTAGTAGCTTCTTGTTCCCAGCAACGATGTTTGTTACTAGTAGCTTCATCTTATTGCCAGGAGCTACTAGTAGCTTCTTATTACTAGAAGTAGTGCCAGGAGCTACTAGTAGCTTCTTGTTCCTAGTAGACATGCCCTTTGTTACTAGTAGCGTCATCTTGTTACTAGTATTGCCAGGAGCTACTAGTAGCTTCTTGCTCCTAGTAGCGATGCCCTTTGTTACCAGTAGCTTCTTGTTACTAGTAGTAATGCCAGGAGCTACTAGTAGCTTCTTGCTCCTTGTAGCGATGCCCTTTGTTACTAGTGGCTGCCAAGACACGCCCCCATCTTTGCAGTCGTTTTCCAGGTTTGTTTTTTCAAGCCTCCTCACCAGCATTCAAGTACCGCTTGTCCAGTTTTCCAAAGACCTGGAGCAGCGGCAAAACGAACCTTTGATTCAAGGACCACGAGGCCACGATGATGGAATATGAAGAATGCATGAATATGCGCTAAAGCGCATGCGCTCCAAGTTAAAGAGCGAGCAGCATACAGGTGTGCGGACCTAACAGCAAATTAGATTCGTCAACACTTTTTTGTGGGCCTGCTTGGATGAGTTGAGTTGGCCGCTCAAGCCATTTTTAGTATAAAACTGCTACTTGCTGCGCGGTAACCTGCCTGATAGAGGCGGCTATATAAGCTAAACTTCTGGGTTTTCAATCAAGCACATGATATGCAGGGTTCAGGTGGTCCGATTTGCCAAGGTCGCTCCGCGAGCGACCACAAGAAATCAGCTGTTTGAAAGACGTTGCGTGTGTTGTTTTCGCATGGTCCAAGCCCATGCGCCTTGTGAGCAAGGATCTCTTTGGATGCCCAGCCTCCACGAAGGGTAACATGGTAGGCGTCAACTGGGGTTGCAGTGAAATAATTAGGCACCCTAGCGAGAGTGCTCCTTCACTGGCTTCAGACTTTCAAGAGAGCAGGGACATAGGGCCATAGGGTTGTGTGAGAGCCTCAACTTCTGTATCCCCAATCTCAAGGCTCTGGGGCAATGCTGGACAAAGTGTAACTTTAGGAAGCTGCAGTCATTGTGATGGTAGTCATCCTCGGAATTAGCGGCTCTGAACACACATTGCCAAAAATACATGTGGACATTGATACAGTATACTATCTGGGCATTGTGCATCAGTCACATAGAATCTTCAACTGTTGTTTGGATGGTTTTGCAAAGCGGCGTTAATAGATGTTAATATATATATATAATATGCGTGTCTTATCTCTTCTCGGCCCCAAGTTCTATCACTGTTCTGGTCTATTCTCAGTTCCTCCTTTCACCCTGAGAAGGCCAAACCCAGCGAAGCCCTCAGACATATACCGTGGGCAATGGACGAGAAATTCCTTGTTGTGAATGTATTACTATGACTTATGTGATCTTATGTGTGTATGCATATACTGTACTGTACTACACAAACACATGTGTCGAATGCCTGCTGAGGCTGATTGTCTTGGCAGGCTTGCATGCTCAACATTCCTTCAACCCACAGCGATCATCCTACATCGTTCTCACAACAGCTTGCCTCCTGCGCCAGACAAACGTAGGTTCGGGGCTAACGAGGCCAAACCTAAAGTGTCACAACGTCAAATTAGCGGATGCACTGTGGCCAATTCATGGATCATGAAATCTGTGACCAAAGCTTTACAAGAACTGCCTTGATCTCAAGGTCCTTTCATGATTAGTAAGGGTTAACGAACAAGTGTCTGGTTGCTTATGCTTGGACCATCCATGGGATCATAGCATTCGATTGATGCCAACAACAATGTCACAACTCCGTGTAATTGTACACAAGTATATTGTCACACGCAACTGTCGAAACTGGTGCCATTCTCTATTGGTCAATGGGCAACAATCTAGAACAACTTCACACACTAGCAACTGGCCATCAGCGTGCTGTACACTCCAAGCGTCTGGCGCGCTGACATCACTGCTGAGTGACCGTCTTCATTTTTGTTCGTCACCACTGCACCTATCACAAGTCAAAGGGACTGGCGGGCTTTGCTGAACCAAAGACCCGAAGAGTAACAGCGACAAATATTATATAAGCATTTCTTTGTTTTGTGCGCTCGTGGACTTCCAACAAGCTGGTGGGTGAGATAAATGATAACAGTTTGTTCAACTCCATTACTGCCAGATCAATGTGACATCTGTTACTCCTAACTCCTAACTTGTTTTTCCTTTCCACACCATCCCCATCGAAGACCAAACTAAAAAGAGGCACGGTGTTGGCATGGCAAAGCTTGATCTTCCCAAATGGTTTTTCATTGCCGGATTTATAATATAATATCAATCGTCCATTTTGTATGCACAAAGCGGAACAATCTTGGAAAGCCAAGGGCGGAAGTTTAAAAGAAGAAAGCTTTTAGAAAAGGTTCACTCGTTCCTTTTTGGCGGATGTCTCTGGCCTCTGCGATGAATGCATGTGTGGTCAACCAAGCAATCACGTGACACCAACCCCCGTTGACACCACCATCATCCCGCTCACCAGCGACGCGCCGCATTCACACATACGTGTTTCCCTTCCGCCAATGGCACAGAGCCACGAAAACGCACTTTCCACCAAGGCCGCGCCAATCCGCATGGCACGTATTTTTGCCGCACCGTGTTCCTCTCACTAGCTGCATGCAACCGTGTGACACCACCTACTATCTACGCTAAGTCGTGAACTTAGCTGCCTTTCACTTAGCTGCTGTCTAATTATTGCCTGAGCTATTTGTATACAGTGACTGTTCAAGACTGTTCACGGAAGTTTCTCGACTAAACTTCCTTTGACAAATTCAGTTGGTGTTCGCACACACACTTGTTGGTATAGCACGCCCAGCTTTGCCAAGGGGTGACTGCACCTCTGGGCATCATACTGGACCCTATCAGGGGCATGGGACCTACTCCTTGCTACATGGTGCAACCTTCACTTGAACAATCGCGTAAAAGCAGATGACTGATGGCAAAATTGTTCCTTTCTCGCTCAAACGAGTGGCTATCTCGAACATCACACCCACCTCTCTGAAGCAAAGCATCCACTATCGCTTCGTCAGCTCTGGCTGCCGCCACCTGGGAGGGCACAATGTGAGCTCGACTAGTAACAAGGGCATCGCTACTAGTAGCAAGGGCATTACTACTAGTAACAAGAAGCTACCAGGAACAAGTGCATCGCTACTAGTAGCTTCTTGTTACTAGTAATTCCCTTGTTACTACATGTTGCTACTAGCTGCGTGTGTTTCTCTCAGGCCCTCGCATGTAAGGGAGTGTTCCCCTTTGAGTCTGTTTTCATCACATCCGCTCCCCTGTTGAGGAGGTCCTGGAGCAGCAATTATGAAACACAAGTAGGTAGGTCGTATAGATCCCTGGCATCTCCAAGTGAATTATATACTTAGTCCCCTTGGCACTTGACGAGGCCCAGCTCAGAGTGAGCTTGATACGAGCTGCTCAAAGTGCAAGCTTCTTTGGTCTGACAGAATATCAATGTTTGCTGCTGGAGAAACACCCACATCTCAAAGTCTAAGAGCTTTTCCACTCTTGCCATGACTCATTTCACTGTTGCTCCTCCACAGTTGCCACATCACCTGAAGAGAAGGGCTGGAAGTCTGACATGGCATCTGGTTGGCCAAATTGGACTCACCACTTATGTCCCGAAGCCGCACCTGAACGGATGACCGCCATAAGCAAGGTCTCAGCATCTGGACCTCATACGGATACCATAAGGTATACCAGATCGCACCAAATCCACAATCCTGGAGCAGTTGGTCTCTGAGAATCAAATACAACTTTCACTTCTCCACCTGAGGGCAGCACTGGGATCCTGCGTATTCACATCCATCCCATGGTCCAGAAACACGTTCACCTTCATTCGGGACTTTGGTTGGCAGAAAAACATGAGCATCTTTCTCCTCGTCCGAAATTCCCTACATCTGGGTGCGGTCATTAGGACAAGGCATCGGGCTTAGGTTTTCCTCATCGGTTTCCAATTGTTGTGAATTTCACTAACATACTTTATGTTTCCGAGCAAAAGTATAGTCATCGACATTCATGGGGAAGCAACGCACAGCAAACAACAGTCCATATTATGGACTCCGTTAGAAATTTTGTGCAGCCAAAGGCCAAGCGCAGCAAGGCAATGTCAGCTTCACAATTACAAGTGGTCCCCCAAACCACGTGTGGATTGTGGCTCTTCTGCCAAAAGGCGATTCCAAGTGCCTTCCCACCAGCAGGAGCAAATATTCGTGAATACAATAAATCCAGAGATGAGGACCCAATGAAGCCACTCCGACTCAGCATTACTCAACCCAACACAAATGGCATCATTACCGAAAACAGCCACTTGAGCCCACTTCTGTTCTAATGTACAGGATTGTCCAAACAATGGAACCCATTTGTTGTCTTCGCCTTCGCAAGAGGAAGTGTCTGACAGAAAAAGTAGACATATATTGTATCAATCATACATTAGAAAAAACTTGCATGCATGGATCCGCAGTCACATGTTTCTGAACCAACAAATATGTCAATGCTGCAACAGTGCCATCTTGGTTGGTCCCAGTCACAACAGCGCGGTCTTCGCCCACTCGCAGCCGTGCTAGCAAGGCCACCAGAACCTCCTCACAGATTGGAGCCCCTGCAGCCAGGAGTGCCTCGTCATGATATGTCAGGACTCCATGTGTGCGCCTCCAACCTGCTAGCAATGGCCTCCATCCTAATAGCAATGGCCTCAGAGGGCAACCTGAAGAGAAGGTGGCCAATGTGAGAGGTGAATTGATGAAGACCAAAGGGTGCATCGGTACAGTAACACAACCCGGTTTGAGGTGGACTCTGCGTGAAAAATACAAATGAATCTTCGCGTAGTCTTGTGCACAAAACAGGCAGGGAGAACAACGCCTTGCAACGGGAACATGCTGTAAAACAAATTTCTCTGTTTGTCACGCAGGGCCCTTGGATGTATTTCTGTCAAACCTTCTGAAGTGAACATTGTTATGAATGGCCCCGAATGGCATAGTGATAGTGCCTGCATGTGCCTGCTGGCTGTCAAACCGACACAATCCCTGCCCCATTGTCGACTTAGGTGTTGACTGTTGTGGACGTCTTGTTCCAAGCCTCCAAACCGGCAGCCTTCACATGACGGCGAACAGCCTCTGGGAGAGGGGCATCCGTGCCGTTGAGGGCCTCGGAACTGATCCAAGCAAGCACTTGTCTTTCTGGTCTTTGTTGGGAGTTCTGGAAAACTACACCTTCTGTAATCCAATTGTCCCTATTTCATTGTGAGCCACAAAATACTGTATTCGGCACTCCACAAAACTACTGATTGAAGGACATATTCGAACCAACCGGTGCAACATGTTCTCCCTTGAGAAAACAGCACCACGTTGGCCAAAGGAGACTGTTCAATACATTAATATGTTTTCACTCAAATGGGCCCTTTGCTTATGCTGGTTCTTAATTAAATAACATGCCGTCAATGACATAATATAATACCAATTAAGCATTTCTGATATTATATTCATTCTGTATATACAATCTGTGATGTGCTCACAATATGAGTGGTGCCCAGAACTCTATTGGACATTATTCTTCCTTCTGCAAACAAATGCAAACCTTGCACACAATCATGGGACAACTTCCACTGTAGACTAAACTACACTGATCTCAGCTCCTCACATGTATCCAAATGCATATGTTGTTGCAATATATGCATATACTGCTATTATATATGTATAATATATGTTATAAATATGTATATGTTTGACTATATATTGTATATATGCAATCCCGAACATTACACACCGACCTTGTTAGCTTGACGATTTGCACCAAGCGACAAGACCCTTCTGAAGCTCTTTGGCCACCAAGGCCTTTGCAGCCTCTCCATCGAGGCCCTCCAGGCGTTGGGCCAGAGTGCCCCGCCCGGCAGAGCAGCCCATTGCAAAGCATAAGGAAAAAAGACGTCGGAATAGATCAGGTGAACAAGCAGTGTAAACATGTCTGATGGATTCATTCGCCCAATGGCTTCGGCTCCAGACTTCAGAGACCGGGAAGAGACTGGTGCTGTCCCTAAAGGGGTAACCATTCAGTACGTGCTGGTTCCGGATGCCTTCTAATGGTGGTTCTGAACATTCCGTGCTGTTTGCTCTTGCGATCCTGCGGAATCTTTCTGAACCTCAGGAAATCTGTAGCTCCGCACCCTGCAGTGAACCATGGCGTTTGAATCGAAAATCGAACGGTTAAATCATGAAAACACGACAATCACCTTCCAAATTCTTCAGATGGATATAAATCTTGGGAAGTTCATACAATCAAAGAATGCGATAGAAGAAAGTACGTGATGGATTTCTTGAGCATATGTTTAGGAACCAACCAAATGACCATGACATACCATGACTATCTACCACTTCTTCTGTATCCAATTTTTGGCTCACTCCTCGACAAGCGGTCCAAGCCACGGCAGCTCCTTGCTTCGTCCTGACCCTCTTGGATAAGAAGCTATAGATATAGTTCAAGATTCCATTTAATAAGCACGGACCAAAAATACTTGCGACCGAAAGCCAAAGAGTCGCACACTACGTACAATTTAAGACTTGATACACTGAACATCACTGGATGTTTCCCTCAGACTCATACATAACTAACAAAGTGCGAGCAGGGCATTCAAAGGGTCCGGATCAGCCAAGGAGCATGACTCGGCCACAGGAAAACAGTCGGAAAGGCCAAAAGAAAAAAAAGTGAAGGTCATCCACAAGCTTCACATGAGATGATCATTCTGTTCTGTTTTGTACAAGCATTGTTCAATGTTGCTAGTCGCTGTTGGACAGCACCCCTGCAAAGCCACATCACTGCTCACAGCCTTTGGGCAGGTCTTGAAGCGCTTGATATCCCGTCATTAAGACTGCAATATGCAAATGGTTGGCTTCCACCATGCAATATCAGAATATCCTGAAATGATATGAACATCCACCCAAACATCCAAAAACTGTGGCCCAAAAATTGAAAGATAACAAGAACTGCAAAAACACCTATGTGCCAAGCTTAATTAGAGATGTGTGTCTTTCGACTTTGCGCCTCATGCGACTGCGAGAAAAACCAGAACTGCCAGTCACCCACAGGTTGCAAAGCTGGATAAGGAAAGCGTTGTGCTCAAAACATCACCACGTCCTTTGCAAGAAGGGTCATTGCGCAGCGATAAGGAGTTGTCTGCCAACACACTTAGAAACTGATACAGTGTTCTTGCATCTTGCGTGCAAAGAGCAGTTCATTCAGCCTATCAAACACCAAATCGATGCTTGAATATGTATCTCAAACCTACATGCAGCTTCCGACACTACACTGCATTTAGCACGTGCATACTTCCACACAGCAAAACCATGCAGCTGCAAAAGCATACATGACGTAATGTTGTAGATGAGTATTTAGCAGGTCAGCCATAATCATAATATGATTTTTTCCAAACAATCCAGATCAAATTTGATTTGGTATTCGTCCAACAAGATCCATAATTAGGCCAAATACCCGGTCCAAATCCATAACTATACATAATAGTCAGTTGTCAAAACCACACATATACATACGGTAACCGTATACTGTATATTATCATATCTAAAAAAAAAAATATATATATATATCCAAAAACATGTCCAAAATGCAGAATTCAAACAACATTGCTGCAGATTCTGTTCATGCACACACACACTCTGACATTGGTTTTCAGTTAACTCAATTCCCAACTGGAAATAAGGCGAGAGAACGGCAAGGTGAAGGAGTCGGCGCAACTGTATTGTTTGAACAATCTGTTGACATGTCTGCGGTGGCGAACATCAGCGTGGCTCAGCTGCAGGAAACGCGGCAAAAGAGAGGTTTACGGGAGGTAGCATGTGAACAACCATGAATCAAACCGTGGAGAAGTAGGGTAACAGCTTGTGAAAACAGTTCAGCAGGTACACACCGAGACGTCTCTCAGTGCTTCCCGTGCGTCAGGTAGCTTCGTTGGACATGGTCCCTGAACGCACGCCATGTCCCCCTGCGAATGCAAGTAAACAAAAGGGAAAAGGAGCTCTTAGTTACAGAGGTTGACACACACACGACGCCGAATCCGGCGCTCATGTTGCAAGTGGTGACTTTTTTCTTTGGTTTCCTTAAAAAGCGTTCGCAGTCTCTTGCTGCGTGTCCCTTGAGGACGTAGAGACGCCAGATCGCAAATCGATTGTGTTGGAAAATAGGACTCTATACACGCTTGAGGGTCAAAGCAAGTTGCAAAAAGTACATAGTCATGCAATCACATGTTTCTGTCCGTACAAGCCCGGCGGCTGTTGAGGCAGTCGATCCAGTAGTGAAAAGGAAGCGGTTAAGAGAATCCAAGGTTTGGTGGAAAAAGGAAAGCAGTTACACGATTTCCGGCATGAGAACAGCGCCTCCTTGCGGAGGATCACACCCAGCACCCAAGTGGGACGATTCACACTCTGACATTGGTTTTCAGTTAACTCAATTCCCAAGTGGAAAAAGGGCGAGAGAACGGCAAGGTGAAGGAGTCGGCGCAACTGTATTGTTTGAACAATCTGTTGACATGTCTGCGGTGGCGAACATCAGCGCGGGTCAGCTGCAGGAAACGCGGCAAAAGAGAGGTTTACGGGAGGTAGCATGTGAACAACCATGAATCAAACCGTGGAGAAGTAGGGTAACAGCTTGTGAAAACAGTTCAGCAGGTACACACCGAGACGTCTCTCAGTGCTTCCCGTGCGTCAGGTAGCTTCGTTGGACATGGTCCCTGAACGCACGCCATGTCCCCCTGCGAATGCAAGTAAACAAAAGGGGAAAGGAACTCGTAGTTACAGAGGTTGACACACACACACAAAGCTCTCAGGACAGTAAAAGGGACAAGTCTGCCACACGAAATTCCTTAGCTTACATTAGTTTTCATTGTGCTTTCATTTGTTTATGTTGCTTTTATGCGCTGTCATTTTGCTTTCATGACGCATGAAAGCAAATGAACTCCAGAGGATTATAAGTAAGATTATATATAGTTAAGGGTACCTCCAAAAACCTCAACAAAAAAGCGGCCCACTAAATACGGATCTTACACTACAAGCATTACCTGGCATGACTTACAATTCGCCATCTTCCATTCAACGCCCTTTGACTGCCGCCCCTCCTCGGATACTCAAGTGGCTTTCAAAAGCCTCCACAACCTTGAGAAGGGATTGGATCGAGTCTGGTCCAACAGAGAGCGCAGTGCTTGGCGTATGCTGGCAACAGGTCAGCAACTTGGTGATCAATTGTATGTTGCCATTTCCGGGCTGCGGACAGCACATGCGTCAGAGCCGGGCTCTACCTGCAGTAACTTGACACGATTTGGACCAGCGCTTGCAGACTGGTCAAGGCTTGATGGTCAAGGTGCCTCCAGAGGAGTGGGAAACGTCACATGGTGAGTGCCAGAAACCTCACTTGATCAGTTGCAATGAACTTTCCATCGTTCTCATGGCAGTTCCCGTTTCTGAGAAATTTGGTGGAAAACCTGAAGAACGTTCTATTGTAAGACTTCGTTCGCCAAGCCACTTCGTCCACAGAGCTTACCATCAAATGAGCATGTCCACACCTCATCAAACGACTGAGGTTACTGAGGAACCACCATGCACGCGTAGGATCCAACATGACCAGCGTAAGCGCTCTGAAAGACTTGGGGTCCAAGCAGGACTGCAGTTGGAGGTCTTGATGTGCTTCGCAAGACATCAAGAACCTATCCCGAATTGTTTGGAGAGCGGTACAGATCGGTACAGTACACTTGAAACTTGGCCAACATCCAAAATGGAAATTAAATCCTGCCACCCATCCAAACCTGGTCATAGTTCCACAGGAGGGTCAATCCATTGCCGTTGGGTGTGGCCTCGAAAGCAGCTCAAGTAACAAAGGGTCTGTCTTCTTCATGTTGACTTGAACAAACATGTACAAACAAAAACGATAACATCTGCAGCACATAGCAAAAAAAGAAAACAAACACGACAATACATTCCGGGCTCTCTGGACACGCAAATGCATTGCGCTTCTGCTTTGCATGCGTTTTTCTCAGGTTTTGCACCTGCACTCACGTATCTATCGTTTTTTGCAGACTCAGACTGCTTGGAAATCCCCATGCCACACATGTCCTCATTACTCTCTTGTATCATGTCTGACGGAATGCTATGTACGTTTGCTGCTTCGCACGGTCTACTTCGCTCATTGTGTCACATGTCATATAATTTGTCTTCTTGCTTGGCAGGCTATACTTTGCATCCCCCAATTTCATCTCCCTGTTCTCTTATTGTATCATAATGCACGTCATTTCATGCAGGCTCCTCTGTTGCTGCAGCTGTGTTCTGGATGATGCTGTTACTTTTTCTGCTCTGTTGCAGTCTTTCCTCTTGACGCAAAAGGTAATCCGCATCTTGGGACCATTGGCTGAAAAGGCCGGCGGAACAACCCGCAGGGTGTAAATAGCAGCGAATTAGCCGGTCATGGCTGCGTGCTTCAGCGATCTAAGTATCAGCTGCCTTTCCCCTACCGTAAGAACCCCTAGTGTGTCCACACCGTTTGGGGAATGTGAGGAAGGATAGAGATAGCCACTTAGAGACTTCTATATATATATATAAATAATCTTCACTTTTCTTCGGATCTGACACCGTAAAGTTGGCTATCGAACATCACGAAGTGTTCGAGGCATCGACTTTGCTCATTGCTTTGAAGATGGTGTCTGGTCTTGTTAACTTGGCAAGGTTGCGAACGAGCGTTCACTGTCCTAGGTGAGTAGTGCTTTTTTTTTGCTCCTCTGTGAGTTTGTATGTGCCCGTCAGAGTCAGCTAGAGGAATTCAGTCATTCCTAGTGCGTGTGCTAGCACGAGATCGGAATTGATATTTGCCCCAACTCCTCGACAATCATGAGGGGAACACTAGTGCTATCCCAGCATCAGCATTGGACACCAGTGGATTTTGATGACGTGACATGCTTTTACTTTATGTTGATGTCAAAGCTCTTTCAAGGGCCTTTTGTACTCTTGATCCTTGTGCCTGAGTCCAAGACTTGAGGCAACAGCACGACATGGCTGAGCAGAATAGTCTGCTCCCCCCTGTTTGATGCGCTGTCGAGTGTCTCCTACAAGAAAAGATGCTCAAGCCGCTCCACTGTGTCAACTGAAGTAGACGAACAAAAGTAAAGTGCTCCGCTTTCTTTGCTAAATCCATCATCTGCGACACTCAAGACTCAAGACGCGACATAGGGTGATTCTTTCTGATTCTTGCCGCTTTATCATCCCGAGCGCAGGCGCTTGCCGCTTTCTAGGGGCTCCTGGCCTTAGGAGCAAGAACGCTACTAGGGGCTCCTGGCCTTACTACTAGGAGCAAGAACGCTACTGGGGGCTCCTGGCCTTACTAATAGAAGCAAGAACGCTAATAGGGACTCCTGGCCTTACTAAACGCTACTAGGGGCTCCTGCCTTACTAAGAGTGCTACTAGGAGCAAGAACGCTACTAGGGGCTCCTGGCCTTACTACTAGGAGCATCCTAGCTACTAGCAACAAGAAACTCTCAAAACAAAAACTCGAAAGAACGCTCACGTCTCCCACAGATGGAAAAAACAACTGTCTCATCCGTTCTAGCTAGCGACTCATCATTGGAGCATCACCTCAGGACAAAAACAAAGTCAGCGTGTGGTTGGTACTGAAGGCAACAGTCCGATGAACGGCTGGCTGCATCAAAGGTATCACTTATCAAACTGGAGCGATATGAAGAAGTTGCAATAGCAACGTCTGCGGCCAAAGCGTCTACAGAACAATCAACAATTGCAGTAGTTGGTTCCTGTTTGCTGTGAAATCAAAAATGAAAGCCAAGTGGCTACATGCAAATAGCCAAGCTTTTGCAGCATTGGTCGGCACAACGATTCATTGAAGCCCTGTGGACCACAAACAAAAATCACCACATCATCTGCCGGAGCTGGCCTCGACAGGCTATGCAAAACCACTTCTGCAAATTCCAGTGTGCTCGGTATCCACACATGATCAAGATCCATCTTCCCACCAACTTCCAAAACCAAATACCTCAGGCTAGCTTTGAAGTGCAATCTCTCAAACATCCTCCAAACGAGGTGCAGCGACTGCTGAACCATCTCCACAGTCAACTTGCCAGACCAGCACTTCTTCACTCCTGTGTCAAAGCTGCTGTGAGTCATCAGGGGTGTGTTGATCAGTCCTGTCACCCCAGTAGCACCAGTTAAAAGCATCGGGAATTATCACAGCAACGATTCAGCGATGATCTATCCATTGTTTAGTCCAACCCAGCGTCTAGTAATGTTAGTCAATGAATCATCAATCCTATTTTACATTGATGAATTACTCAAATTAGTTGCCCTGTTTCCTGTCACTTTCTGGCTTCAGGCCATAACCACCCTAGCCTGCATAGAAATTATCTGTTTTCCTTTTCAACTCTGTATGAAGAAGTTGCAGTGTCCATTCAAGAAGATTGGAATGACGGCACACATTTGCACCCCATGCTGTTCGCCTGCAACTTCTGCCTTGGCACCGTCTCCAGTCACCACATGCGAGACCCGAATGGGTGTCGCATCTGTGGCGCCCTTTGCTGATTGATACCATGATGCTGGCAATGCTTCTGATGCTTTGCGAGTCACATGGAGCACGGCAAACTCGTCCATCCTCAAAGCTGACTGAAATCATACTCTGAGCATTCCGTGAAGCACGCTCTGCTGCCGGGGCGTTTGTCAGACCTGGAAGTCTATATGGCTACTTGCTACTTTAGTCTAGCATAATATACCTGTATTTGGGATCTGGTCGAAACGCCTTCTTCCAAAATGGCTGCAAGTCGTTCGTGTTCACATCGGGGCCCGCTACATATTCTTTACTTTTGGCACACACAGCTGGTTAATGAAGGAAACATGGACCAAACAAGTATTGACACCAATTGTAAGAGGCGTCACTAGCGCTGCACCGTTGCCAGCTGATCTCCGAGTTTCAAGCCATGCTTGAAACAAAAGACTTGTTGGAAGTCAGCTTTGGAAGGGTCCATCCATGCTGGCATCTGGCAATGTTTGCTAGCGCGGATCTAGCGCAGCGCTAGCGCGCGGCTAGCGCATTTTTTTAGCAGCTGCTTTTCAAAACCTGACGACCTTCTGAACATGTCCTAAGTCAAACACTAGCGCAAGTCTACCGCAAACCTAGCACCCAGCTGCAGAATAGGTGTGTTTAGCTGGGGGTTCGACCCCTTTTATCTATGTTTTTGCTTATAGACTTTTGGCCGGACTCCATATATATATATAAATACATATATATATATATTTATTTATTTCAAATTAGAAGACTGAAGGTACCAAACATGATCAAACTGCCTTGATCTGCCTTGATCTGCCTTGCACAATCCTTAGGCAAACATGGCAAACCGAATAGCGCGGTCCAAACAGGCGTGCGGCCTCACTGCTTGCTCCCCCATGATTCTTTGATCTCGATCACGGATATCACGCCGACCCTCCTGGAAAGGCACTCCAACCCCCACGATTGACTGTGGCATGCTGAGGTGGCTGTGATTGTGTTTTGAGTCTGCAGAGTTCTGCAGAAACACACAAAAAAAGCACACCTACAATGCCAACGTTTCGATTGGTAGTGACACCTTTCCTACGAGCCTACGAGTGCGGAGTTTTCAAGGGTTAACCGTGCTTTTAAACTGGTGGTCTCTACTCATATCATGGAGCCATTTTGCTAATGAGCCAGGCCTGCCAAATATCCCGCAACGTGCTCAGCACCGGCGTAATGCCAGAGCCGCCAGCAATGGCACCACAAGCTCGTGCCGTGATCACGCTCTTGCCCACCAAAAAGCGACCCTGCCCAAAGTAGAGCCTAGGATCATTCTGCTTGACCGCGCCAACGGCATTGCTCTCTGCAGGACAAAACGGTCTTTGTCAACTCATCCATGTTCATCCATTGAGACTATTTCCACAACCTGATAGCGATGGCCTCCAACCTAATAGCGGTGGCCTCCACCTAGTAGCTTCTTGTCAGCATGTTGCGCATCTTGGCTGAGCCAAAGAACTGGTGTCCGTGAGGGCCAGTCAGGAACATCTTCTGCCCAATGTCCAGCTTCTCGATCAAGAAAGTGCTCGCACGGCCTGGCAGTTAGCAAGGACCACACTGGTCTTTCAAAATCATTTGTCTGCAGCTTGAACACTGTCAAAGCATCCAGTCTTAGTCTTAGGTCGTGTTAGAATCTTGAACATCAATGTTGAAGTTGGCATGCCAAGGCTGCAAGCTGGGACTTGTTTGGTCGCGAACCAAGTCCAGTTCTCATTGGTTTGGAAAACCACAACTAAATGGGACATGATGGAAATTATGTTGCATCTGCACCTCCATCAGGGAAGCCTCGATCAGGTTCCTTCGGGTATTGGCCTCAGACCATCGCGATGAGGCAAGCCCTCATGCCGGTCGACCAGCCCTGGAAACTTGAAAGTAGAATTCCGGTCCAAGCAACGACCAGGGGCCCCTAGTAGCGAACATGGTTACTAGTATGGCCAGGAGCCCCTAGTAGCGTCCTTGCTCCTAGTAGCGATGCCAGGAGCCCCTAGTAGGTTCTAACAGCTGTATCATGGCCAAAGAAAAGAACTGAAGGCTAGGACGGCTAGGCAGAATACCCTTTCTGGGAAATGTCCCATCGTTCAAACCTGCGATATTGGGATTTCTGTGCTGAGGAGCGAATCATGAGATCTATGGTCGGGGATGTCGATGCAGACACTGGAGTGTAGGATCGACTCAGCTCTTCGACGGGTTCCTGCAACAGATTGACGCACTTATGGTGGGCTGAAAAGGACCAGCTAGCATATGCTAATCTGATAAAACATGATCCCACCATATCCCACCAATCTCATCCAATGTCCTTCTAAGTGAATTGCAACAACACATTGAACGCAAAAGGATATGAAAAATCAAATCCGCCGACGGGCCGAGAAGACAAAGCAAGCACACAACATGCAAAACATTGCAAAACCAATATCACGTGGATTAGCACTTGAGTCGTTCACTCTTGTGCGGCCTCTGAAAACGAGCATTCTGTTTTAGTCCGGACAAAATACGGGATGCCATCCATTGCCATCCTCTCCGAGTCCGCTCCTCCAAGTTCACAGACTTGTTCCATGTTTGCGCGTTCTTGGAAATGTTCTCCACATGGACTTTTACCTGACACACCGTGTGGACACACTGACCAGCTGAGTGTTGATCAACAAAGTGAGAGCAACGGCGATGTCTTGCCCCTTGCAAGTTGCGTGTTGTCCAGGATTAATCCCAGCCGTATAGCCAGCCGGGATCTCAAACTTCAGCAAGAAGAACGCATCATTGACCTGCTTCTGGACGCTACTTCCCGGCATAGAAAAGGGCAAACTGATTGCAACCAGGGTGTCTTCAAGGTTGTCTGTCTAGGGTCTCAAAATGATCGTAGCATGGCAGCCTACTCACCACACCATTTTGCCTGTATCCTAACATGTGGAGCCTCCTGTCGTCACAAACTTTGTTACTAACTTTGTTTTTGCCCACCCCTAAAGTAAACCGCAGAGTAGCCGTTGAGCAATCAAGCTTACAGTAACTATATTCCCGAAACAAATGAATCACTTTGGACTTCCAACAAACAAATGTGCATTCATTCGGTTAAAGTAGTGCAATGTTGTGTCATCTCAGTCTCGACCCCCTGCAAATGCTTCATCTCACCTTCTCCTTGGCCACCAGCTTCAAAGGCTTCCGGCGGGCTTCTAAGAAGCGTCGAGCCCGAGTCTCCGTCATGAAGCCCATGCAAATCTTTTGGATGGTGATGCAAACCAACCAGGTGATCAACATGACTGGAAATTGCAAGACCTCAGTGATGAACGGAGCGGCAAGTTGCAAATAGCTCCAAAGAAAATGGAATAAATACAGAGAGATGTCGATATGATTACAATATCGAGCATTGAATGTGGTCCGTTTTCCTGTGTGAAATTCACATGGACATACTTAACAGCATTGTCCCAAGCATATTATGAACAAACAGTTTTGGAGTGTGCATACACAGCGACCTCCGCAAGCAAACATCGAGGTGCACTCTCATCTGGAATATTCCATAATTTAAAACATACAATAGCTCAAATGAATCAATGGATGTATATATATATATAATGGGCGCAATAGAATGCATGCACGTTTGCTCATCAACGGGTTCTTTTCATAAGAGGCCTAAATAGGTTTCCTCAGAACATGCATCCAAGCGACGTCTATGTCAGGCAAAACCTCAACATAGATCAGGATCTTCGGGACAAAAGGTCCCAACCACAGTGCATACTTTGATAGGCCATTGGAGCGGAAAAAGTAGAGCAGAATCCACAGGAGCTTGGTCAGCAGAATAAGGTGCAGTTCGTCTCCGCTTGTGGCACAGTACTACGTAGACTCACGGCTGCTACGACTTATTTGAAGTGTTAAGGAACATCTATACAATCGATGACCCAAAAGGGCATTATTATTGGTGTGAATCAATGCGTTGTTGTGTGTTTTTTCATTGTTTTCGGATTCTATTGACCAGTCACGTGCTGTTTTGACTTGGCTGGTCTTTCCCAAATCTCTAAATGAGAATTATAGGATATACGTAAATTTTGTATCACATATATCAAAAAATCCATTAAACAAAAATGGTTTTCCATCATCACATTGGATGACAACATCACAAACTATCCACACATAATCTCACCACATTCATTTCCCTCACGGTTCATCATGAAATCATCAACAACAAAGCATGGTCCATGGTGTAACCTCATTGATTTGTAGAAATATTATGTATTCCTAGACACGGTTTATTCATGAAATCAATCTGTTTAGACATTGTTTAGTTTGATTCATAAATCCTTAATTATTGGAGGAACTCCTATATATATTGTAAATTTGTGTATGCATCGGAGCATGCATATCATGATATGATGTGATGACGGCCGCCTGTGACCTTTCGGATCATAGGGCCCTTGAGTCTGGCTCATTCGAGCCCCCGACGGTTGCGCAATGGAAAAGTGAGCGCACCGCTTGCTTTTGATCGTGATGGAGTTCTTTGATCCCCGTTGGTTGAGTTGTGACAGTTGCCTTTACAAGTTGCTGTTGATCCTCCGCTCACCATTTTACATGGTAGCGGAGCTGCCAAGCTCCAGGATTGCTTTGTGAGGTCCCGGCCTGATCCCGGGTGCGGTGCAAACCGCAGAGCAGCTCGTGCCATCTAGGTACATTGCTTGTGCAGTGGTGCAAAGTTGAGTTGACGTTGATTGTTGAGCATTGACATTGATTGTTGGTTGTGGAACATTGTTGTTTGTTGTTGGCAGTTTGAGCCATGGACTACAAAGACACTCTCAAAGACCTCTACTTCGATGGGAAGCCAAGCGGATATCGTGAGTTCAGACGCAAGCTGATCCTTGGTGTTGCATCCCTTGAGGACAAGCAACAACACCTGGCCGGTCCTCGAGTCCTCGGAAGATTGTCTGGCGAAGCTTGGAAAGCGACCGAAAACATTCCAATTGCTGACCTTCGATGTGAACAAGGCTGGCTGCAAATTGTTCGGACGCTTGATCAGCACTATCGTTATTTGCCCGAGACCGAGCTCCACGAGGCCATAGATGAGTTCCTTTTTGGGTTGAAGCGGAAGGGACATGAGGGAGCCACTTCCTTCACATCCCGGTTCAAGACAAGTCTGCATCGCCTGGAAACGCTCATCTCACAGGAGCGACAGCTGTCGAAGAAGCAACCGAAGTCCGCAGTCGAAGAAGAAAAGAAAAAGGAAGATTCGAGTAGTTTGGAAGAGTCGGACGAACATGCCCTACCTCCAGACGATCCCAATGAACAAACAGATGAAACTGAACAAGAAGTTGAAGATGAAGTCCGGCCAGAAGCCAAGGCCAGAGCAGCACCTCCTCCAGGTCCTTTTGATCCTCCCCTTGATCCTCATCGTCGGACCGGATCCACTCCATCGGTCCGAAGTGCGAAGTCGAGCTCAAAGGCTTCACAGGGGAAGTCCACTGGGACTCAGAAAGGTGACCAGCGAAAAGATCATCTCCGTATGCAACGTCTTCTTGGAACGTTGGAGCAGTCGCATACAAAGCCAAAACCGATTTTTCCACAGTCAGTTTTGGGACACTGGTTCATGAGAAAGTTTGGTTTGTCGCGTGAGCAACGCAGCCACATCATTCGTTCAACAGGCGGCTCCAGTCGATTTGTTGACATTGAGAAGATTTTGCGCGCTAGTGACTATGAGGAGAGATTGGATGACCGGCGACCACGGCTGGACGATCGTCGACAGGTGAGACCACGACGCGAAGCCTATGCTGTTGAACAAGTTGCTGAAGCTTCATCCACCTCCGTCGATCCACTTTCTGACTCCGGGTCTGGTGAAGAGGCCTACCAAGTTGAGGGTGGCGAAACATCTCTGGGTTCAGGTTCTGAGGAAGAGCTGCAAGAGATCTATGAGATTCAGAAGAAAGCAAAGAAAGAATTCAAGAAACAGTTTCGCACCTACAAGGAGTCAAAGAAGAAGGTGAGGGAAATCAAAAGAGCACGACAACCATACATGCCGGTGGTGGCCATTCCACCCACCGAAGGCGGCCAGTCCCAGGCTCCACTGGAAACTCAGGCTGCATCGTCCAGAACACCACGCTATGAGAAAAGGTCCTTTGACAAGAAGTCACCACAAAAGGACCCAAAGAAGAAACCACCGAGGCGTGAGGACGCCAACCTGACAGAAGCTGTGGAGATTGTTGACAGGACATTGACCGAGTTCAACTATGCCCTGACCGAGTCCACCGCTGCTGAACTGGAAATTCTCCTGGCCTCAATTCCATCGGGTTTTGCAATCATTGATACTGGTTGTACAACATCCGTTGTTGGCGAGGAAACAGCACAGAGATATGAGCAGGTTTTCAGACAATGCAATTTTCCTCCACCCGTGCGTGTCACAATGCCTACAGTTGAGCTTCGTGGCTTCAATGGTCAGAGCGAAACAACAGCTGTTGGTTTGAAGTGGACAGTACAGCTGGGTTCGTTGAAAGGGAATAGCACGACATATGTTGTTCCTGGAAGCGCGCCATTCCTGCTGTCACGAAGGGTGTTGGAGGGTATGCAGGCCACACTGGACTTGGGCCGAATGACCATCACGAGTCCAAAACATGGTATGCAAGATGTACCCCTGAAACAGGCCGCAAATGGCCATCTGCTGTTGTCTCTGGTGCCACAGGTTGCTGAGTGGGAGACAGTCCTCAACGACTCGAATACAAATGAGCCCAATCCGCATGAAGCCCAAGCGATGGACCGCCAGTCCATCTCCGTTGATCTCGAGCACCACCAAGACCTCAGAGGACAGGACACGAACAAAAACAGTGTTTTAAGTGCACCAAAAATGGAGCCAACCCCGTGTGATACTCGGAGGGCGTTTCAAACTGTGTGTAAACATACCAAACGAGGAAACGTCGATTGCAGTGTTTTTCGTGCCGAGCTGTCCCAATTGTTTTCATGTCCCGAACACCCGGTGGTGCATGCCTATGTAGCATATAAACCTAGACTAGAAAGGATTCCTGCCGAAGCCGAACGAACTTCACTTGATATGAATGTAGTCTCTATGGATAAAGATGGAAACATGCTCATGTCAGGATGGATCGTTCGTCCAGCCGGACGGGTCAGAAGACCTGTCAACCCAATGCAGGTTGCGATCTTTGCATTTCGATCCGAGCAAGCACCCTCTGAACCTGAGAGTGCCGGCAGTGAGTCCGATCGTGTCGAACCAGCAGAGCCGACACCATCAGCGCACCAATGTGATTGTTGTTGTAATGATGACATAGAAGGGGATTGGGAATACACCATGCAATCAAACACCCTCGAAACTTTGTATGAAGAGGTTGACTGGGTAGATCTTGACTTGCAGGATGTTCCAAAAGAAACCCAAACGAAACTGAAAGACGCAATCACAGCTGCACGCCGTGTCGGTGTACGCATGGCTTTGTCGCGACTGCAGAGCAATCGGCAGGAAGTGCTTTCAGAACTTCGCCACTGGTTGGGCAACCAGGCTAGTAAACTTGACTCCAAGGTTGGACTCATAGAAGTTTTCACAGGAACAGCCAATTTGTCCAAACAGTTCGAAAAGAGAAACCAGAAAACAGCAATCCAAATTGGAATAGATCATGGACATGATCTTGGTAGGTTGAGGGATAGACGAAATCTCCTATACCTGGTAGCCTTGACAAAGCCTGATCACATTTGGTTTGCTCCCCCATGTAAGTGCTGGGGTCCCTGGTCGAGGTTCAATATGGCATTTTCCGAGTCTAGGAAACAAGAAGTATTGAAAAAGAGACATCAAGCTAGAAGACATCTGCAATGTGTTTCGGAAACATGGCATCTCCAAACCATCCTTGGAGGTCATGTACATGCTGAGAATCCGCACTCGTCCGATATGTGGCAGGAGTTAGTGCTTGGACCAGCCTGGTCAATCCGAATTGACCAATGTGCACTCGGGCTCCGTAGCCCCAAATCCAACATCCCTGTCTTGAAGCCAACTCGGATTGTCAGCACTCAGGAGTCTTTGATGCAGCACCTTGTCCCATTTCGGTGCGATCATAAGCATGGTCATGATCATCTAGAAGGAAACTACAAAGGTAGAAATCTGACATCCTGGGCCGAGACATATCCTAATAAGTTTGCACGTGTCATGGCCGATGGTCTTGCCAAAAGTCTCCATGGACATTCTGGTCCAGATGCAGTAGAGATCTTAGCTCAAGATGAAGAAGAAGATCAACTAGAAGAAGAGACAGAAGATCGATCAGAGAGACTGCCAGACCATGACGAGCCAAATTCGAACAGCCGAAGTTTGAATCCCAAGCAGCTGCGAGTGTCCGCATTGGTTCGTAAATTGCATGTGAACACAGGTCATGCATCGACAGAACAAATGTTGAGGCTCGCGAACCGTTGCCAAGCCAGTCAAGAAATTGTGGACTGCATTCGGAACTTCCAGTGTCCCATTTGTAATGAACTCAAGCCTCCACCGTCATATCGTAAGAGTGCAATCCCCCATGCAGAGAACCCGAATGACATAGTGGGTATTGATTTTGTTCAAGTAGAACTCAAGAGAGAGGGACGTAATGGGAAAATGACCGAAGTCAAGTTCAACGTGTTGACATGTGTTGATATGGCCACAGGTTTCGCACAACAGATCATCGTTGAACGCGGTCCCAATCAGCTGTCAGTAGCTTTCCATAAGGTGTGGACACGTC